GAGAGACTTGGAATATTATTGGGAGTTAGAATCAAATAATAAATGTAATTCGCTGCGAACTCTATGATCCCAAAAGGTGTTATAGGCCATCCATACTACAACAGGGTAGCAATGCAAGCTTTGTCAGCACCTGATGGATGGGGATAGAATTAATAATCTTAAAGCTCTTTTAGACACTAAATCAAATTAAATGCAGCAAATTGACTAGCAATAGAACAGATTGAGATATGTGTACTATATAGTACCAAAAAAAAAAATAGTAAAACCCTTTTAATCTAACGCGTTTTGACATTATATCCACTTTTAAAAAGGTTCAACTAACCCACTTATTAGCAACAAAAAGATAGACAAAAAAAAAAGTTTTTAGGACGGTAAAGTAGTTGATTTCATTTGCAGTTTGATTTTGAGATGTTCAAATTAACATTGGGCAATCATATCCAGAATTAAAGTGATTAATGCCCTCTTAAGCACAACCACGAGCTTAACAATTATAAATTTTAAAACAGTGATGACGGTCTAAAAATAATGAGATAAAATGAACAAAATAATAAAGAATTAGTGATGCAAAGAGTGATAAAGCCGAAGGCAAAGTTTGAACAGCAGATGTCAAAAGTAGGCTTGTCCGATAGTCGGTCAAATCTGATCTGATTCGGATCAAGGTTAGATAAAATTTTTAAGTTTAAGTCTTGCTCAAGATATTATTTAATTAATGAAATTATTTTTTATTAAATTTTAATTTTAAAATATATTTTAAAGCTTGTTGAAATGGAAGGGTCATATCGAACCTTGAACAAAAATTTTAAAAAATCAATTTATCCCACCCAATTTATGAACAAATCTACTAAAAAAGAGCCGTTATCAATATGTTCTGATATAAAACAGGCTGGAGGCGGTGCTTGGGAAACGACAAGACAACAGCACGAGAGGTGCAATTAACGTTAGAAATTGCTGGTTCGTTTAGTTTGTACTCCACAAAATATTTGGAGATGCTGTTATGGCTGAATCAGCAATGGCGCCTGCCTGACATTCAGTGTCAGCTCAAGAGAACTATAGTAGGTACGTGTTGTTGTTGGTGGTGGGAAATGGGAATATTCTTGTGGCTTAGGTAAGCCAAAATTCTTCAAAGATGGGGAACAAACTTGCGTGTAAGATACTTTGAGAATTGTGTGGGGGGCAGTTGGATGCCACCCTAACGTCAAAATCTCAAACCTTAATAAGAACCCAAATCACCTTTTTTTTTGTCCTTTTTGGTAATCAAATCAAAGCAATTACCCATTTTGTTTTATATTTATTCTAAAATTATTGTTTTGAGACTAACGTGCTTAATAGAGAATAGCAATAGAAGAACCTTAAGGTTCTTTTAGAAAAAAAAATTTAGGATAGTAGTTTTTTTATTATATTAAAAAATATTTTTAAAGACGTTATTCTCATAATACATTGATGTCTAATAAAAAAATTTTAAAATTGCACTTCAAATAATTTTTAACACATATAATCATGAACAAATAAGAGTGAGAAAGAATAATTTAATTTTTTAAGAAATTATATGTAAAATTGTATTAAATGAATGTTGATGAAAATATTTATAAGTCGCAATTGTTATTTAAAACATTACTCCATGAATAGAAGTCACTTGGATGAAAAATCATCACCGTTTTTGGAATGAATCAACATATCCAACAAATATTTATTTTTGAATTCCCAATTAAGATATTCTTATTCTCGATCCATGGCATTCAAATGTTACAAGCAAATTTTCATAGAGAATGTAATTTTACGTGGCATTCGAATGTCCATTTTAAGATATCTTAGACATAGAGATAAACAAATATCTTCTAAACTTGATCTCTTGAATTTTTTTGGATTGCATTCGAATTCATTTGCTTTATTTTTTTCATTTCAAAAATTGTTTTTACAAGTTATATAAATTCTAAACATTTGTTTTATAAAAAGCACTTAATAAACATTTTAGAAAAATTTTATTTTTATAATATATACAACATTTAATATATAAAAAATCCCATTAAGGATTCTAACATGTTCAAAATTTGTTTATCTAGGTGGATTGATATCTTTTGTTTACACTACCTCGCTCGAAAGTTCAATTATATGCTGCTGCATCTTTCAAAACGTTCGAAAAGGACAAACAAATAAATTAATGGAGAAAAAAAGAAAAGGAAAAGATAGTTGGGAAATTGATGAGAATATATTATAGGTAGATGACAAACAAATAATAGCAGTAAAACCCCTTGTCTCCCAGCCAAGGCCCGGTAGTCACATGTGTTTCTATAAGGCTGTGAATTTTATAAGAAAGAAAGATGGATGTCAAAGAAAAGCAGCAAATCATAATATTGGTACAAACGATGGAGACCCAAATTTTAATATTTTCGTGTAGCCATAAAAGAGCCTTCCGTTTGGATCCTTTAGGGTTTAGTATGGTACTTTGTTGGGTAGGACAGGTCAATGCACATTTCTCATAAAAGTAAGTAAAAGATAAAGAATACAACGAGCAGTGTAGCAAACTTTGTATGTTATTTTTAAAGGAAGCGGCCTGTTTTATCCTCCAACGGAGAGACTTCAAAGAGACGTGTCAACAGTTTTCGTCAACAACATTCCTCCGCGAGTGAACTACAACGTATTTTTCAGGATCATGGTATCGTTGTTGATGTGTTTATACCACCAAAAAAAAAAGTAGTAGTAGGCGAGGGAGGAAGTTCAGTTTTGTTCGTTTTGCGGAAAGGGTTGGGCCTAGGAGAGCAGCTGGTAGACTTAATGGTGTCTGGCCGCTGGATTTCCGCATTGGGGTTAACCTTGCTCTGTTTAATGGAAGAGCAGAGTACTGGAGGAGAGCTCAAATTCATGGGAACCAGGGGGTGCTAAGTAACACATGGTTATTAAACACAAATTTTTCTGAATCAGATTAGCGAGCAAGTGGATTTAGATTTTAGTATCTTAACAATACAAAAGGAAAAGATGGGAAAAAAAAAAGGAGGGGGGGGGGGGGGAGAGGGGAAATAACGGAATTAATTTGCTCTCAATACCCATTGCAGATGATGAAAATGGTAAAAGATTCTCTGATGTAGCTCAATTATAGCTTGCATTTTGTTTCTGAATTCTGACTTGGTCAAAGGCTGAGGTTTGGTAGAGAATTTGCCGATACGCAATTATAATACTACTACTCCTAGTCTCTACATAACACTATAAAATTCATAGAAAAGTTCATCAATAATTGTTGTCCCCAACCGTATCTTCCATACGTACGCCAAATTCATGAAAACTGAAATTTTCCCTAAGCAATAACCATGAGAAAGAAAAAACCCTAATGCCCATTAATTAATCGATCAGTTTCATATGAAAAGATACCTAACTGATTCCCATCACGGATGAAAATCTCAAATGTAGATTATTAATGTTAGATAACATAGGGCTTAATTTAGTTTTTTGATAAGGCCCTAATTTAGTCGCAAGATCTAGAATTTCAAAGTCTATAATTCAAATGTTATCATGTGTAAATTTGATTCAATTTGATGTTAATTTATTTAAATAATTTTAATTTATTGTTTAATTATTCAGTGATTTGATATAATTTTGATTATAATTGTAATCTATACTTATAATTAATTTCATAAAAAATTATTTTTCATTGAATTATTTTTAAGTGAATTCAATAAATTTAAATTCAAATTTTAACACATTCAATCTTTGCTTTTATGTACGTATCGTAATTTCATTTATTAAAAAAATTATTGATGTTAGAATTTTAGTTTGAAAAGAATAAATAAATTTATAAAAATATTTATATAATCATTAATAAAGAGAAAAAGGTAATTATAAGTAGATTTGTTTATTGATCAAATAAAGCCGAATTTGAAGCCAACCTAGATAAGATATTAACAAGATTCAAACTTAACCAAGCTCGACTCATACTAGGAATCTTATTTTGTTGCTCAAATTAGGTTTATTTTTATAAGATTATTTAAGTATTCTCATATTTTAATTTTTTTTAATAAAAAAAATATTTTTATAATAAATATTAATTATTATAAAATAAATAATCAACAAAAGAAATGTTAAAAATTCTTTTATTAATTTGATTTGATGTTTGAACCTAATTAATATATATAAACATAGGATATTAATATAAATAAAAATATATGCTTTTTCTGTCTCATTTTCTTTATATATATATATATATATATTTTTTTTTTTTTTGGGATGTCATAAAATTATGGCTTTTTTAATATTTAAAAATCTTATTTTTTCATATTTTAAAATTTTTTATTTTTTAATATTACAAATAATGAAACTTTAATTTTATAAAAAATTTAAAATTTAATATTAAAAATATTAAAATAAAAAAAATTTTTAAAACCTCCTTAAAAATTAATACATGACAAATACTTCGAAATAAATGAAGTAGTAATTATTTGGGCTGCGTTAGGTTTTGACCTTAAAATTTATATTCAAGACTTGATTTAAAAAAAAAAAAGAACTATAAAATTTAAATCTAAAATCATTTATCTGACTTAAAATTTGTATCTAAATCTTTTTAAATTTTAGACTCAGGAATAAGTTGACTCTTGAATGGGTTTAATAATAAGTGAGAATTTTGAATAGTGAGTCTGCGGCAGAGTAATGTTTTTGTTAGCTTCGTATTTCTATTAGCTACTTTATCTTATACTACTTTTTTGTCTTTTTCATATCCCCTTTATTATCTTTTAAAATTCCTTGCTAAAAAAAATGTTTATTATTATTATTTATTATTTATCATGGTATTTTCTATTCACTTTAAATTAATATCACATATCCTTTTCATGCTTTCACATTCATATAACATATTAAGCCAACCTCTCTCCATCTCATTCACTTTGAGTTTGACCCGTTGCCAGCCACCGGCAACTCTTTCTCTGCTCCAATGGCTACCCCACCCCGCACTCTCTTGAGAGGATCTTCTTAGTGGAAACATTTGTTTGATGAGAGAGCGCCCCCCCCCCCCCCTCTCTCTCTCTCTCTCTCTCTCTCTCTCCCTCTTTTTTTGAGCAAAAAAAGCTTTAATAACCTTTCCTCTCCTGTCATTTCTCTCTTTTCCTGCTCCAAAAACCCTAATTCAGATTATCGTATAAGGTGAGGGAGAAGAAGAGAAAAAGTTTCTTCTTTGCTTTTCTTGTTTGGAAACAATAATATTATTCTCTCTTTTTTTTTTATAGAAAGTAATTTTCTTCTGCGGGTGAAAGACGGAAGGAAAAATCAGGATCGATATGAGGGGAAGCTTCAAGGATATGGCTTCTTTCCCAAAGCTGTTTTAGAAGAATTTTTTTTTTTTCATTCATTTCTTGCATACTTTTGCTGTGTCTTCATAATTGCTTTTTTCGAGATAAGACTATATCTTTGTTTCTGTTCTTGCGACTGTGCAACTATCACCATCTATATATCCCAGGCTCTTTGCAGGTTTTCAACTTCTTTTTGCACTTTTAAAAAGATAATCAAAGCTTTTGCTATGGATTCTGGTAACAGTAGTAGTATGCAATCTTCTAGTGGTGGTGATGAAGAGTATGACTCACGGGCTGAGTCCGTCCCAGCATTTTTGAACACTTCAAGCCACTTTAGTCCCTTATCAAATCCACACCCGTCACTTGTCCCGCACCACCAAGACCACCCACCCACTTTCTTTGATCCTTCAGCAAATTATCTCAACCCTTTCTCTCAATCTCAGCCAAACAGTTCATTGCTAAATTTTGATGGGGTTAGACCTCGAAGCCTAAGATCTGAACCCAACTGCAGTGACCTTGGTAACCTAACAGGCTCATCTACATCATGTCAGTCTATCTTAGGTGCACAAGGACTCAATCAAGGTTCATTTCCAAGCTCATCATCGGTGCAATCGAGGCCAGCTCATGACAATGGTGTAAGATCTTTAACACAATCTGATCAGACAAATGTTGTCAAGAACCCAAAGAAGCGAACAAGAGCATCAAGGAGAGCACCAACTACAGTTCTCACCACCGACACAACGAATTTTAGAGCAATGGTGCAAGAATTCACCGGAATCCCTGCACCACCATTTTCAGGTTCATCATATTCTCGAAGGCTCGACCTTTTTGGCTCTGGCACTGGCTCTGGTATTCGGTCCAGTCATTTGGAACCTTTAGGTTCTCTCTACCCTCTACGTCCCTCAGCAAAAAGGATTCAGCCGACGCCGTTTGTATCCTCATCTTCTCCTTCATTGTTAAATAATCCTTTAGTTAATGCTGCTAATATTACCAATACTACTAGCAATAGCACCATTCCCATTTCTATCGCTCCCACAACCAATGCTTTCAATCCCACTTCTGGTAACTATCAACTTCCTTCTGATTTAGGCCTACTAAAGCAGCCTCAGAATATGTTAAACTTGCAGAACCAGAGCCCAGTCCTATCATTCCAGTCCTTCCTACAACCTCCTCCTCTTCACCCTTCTCTTAATTTGCCTGGTTTCGGTGAGAAGTCCCAGGGAAGTTCGGCCATGCCTTCCCTTGATGAACTGGGGTTGAGTCATGGTCATGTTAATGCAAACCTCGGTGGCTTACAAAGTCATGTAAGCAACTGGAGAGATGGGGTTGGATTGAACGATGGGAATTATGGTAGTAGTGATCATCATAACTCACAAAGAGTTAACAACTGCAAATTGAACTACTCAGCTTCCTCATCAGTTTTTCACCAAGAGAAGGGATTGGAGAACGTTTCGTCTAGAGCTGAAGGTACAGTTGATTCATGGATTTGTCCCGCAGAGTAGAATTACTTACTACTAGAACTTAATCAATGTTTCAGAAAATTGTCATGCAGAAGAATGTGAAGATGGTTTTGCAGCAGTAATCATATTCTCTTTTTTTATATATTTTCTTTTGTTCATTTTAGAAATAAATAAGAAATTTAATTAACAATATGTGTTCAATTCCATCATTGTTCCTATATTCTGTCAGATATGTGCTGCAGATAAATATTGTCCTTCTTCTTCTTCTTCTTCTTCTAACATGTACATTAGTACAATTATGTTTTCAATAATATTGGGTTTTGGAACTCGACTGCATCATCTATCTATGATAAGAAACAAGGAAACCGCAATAAGCAAAGCCTTTCATCCTCGTACCTTGGCTAGAGGGAGAAAATAAATAGGTCGGTGCCGTTAATAAAAGGGCTGTTCTATTCCTTGAATCCCCCCAACCCCGTGGTCCTTGTCTACCCATTTCCCAAGTGGTCCGAAATCTTGTTCCTCTTGGGAACTATGTACTTATCATATGTGACTAAAGTGAAATATATATAATATAATATATATATATATAGATATATATATATATATATAGGACAAACGACCTTCCCTCGCCTGTCCCACGGGCTTTCATTTTAACCTGTTCAACTTCTAATAATTACAAGAAAAAAAATTAAAAATGACAAGGATTTTTGAATTAATTGATTTTACGTACAATCCCAATAATTCCTCAAATTTTCTCTTTTGGGTATTTTAATTTCTATTATGCTATAAATATTTTTCTTCATCGCTCAAAAAAAAATTCATTTTTTATCCAATATCAATTTAATTTTTCAACTCAATAAATGAAATTAAAAAATTGACACATTTTTTAATTAATTTTTATTTTTTAATATATTTTAAGGGATTTATATATCAACTTATCACTTTCAATTATAAGTTTTAAAATTTTTATTGATAATGAATGAAATAATTTTTTAAAATAATAATAATTTTCTTCAAATATAATTATAAATTCAATAGTATTAATGCTAATTAATGTGATTAATTATTATTTTCCTATGTCATGTCTCTTCCTTTTGTTAATTTACCTTTTTAATTAATTATAGAGAGAGGGGGTAGAGAGATAGTGCGGAGCAATCGGTGGCAAGATTGAAGGAATCCCAACCAGCCGTAATCATAAACTACAAGTTAAAATATGGCTCCTAATCCTATTATTTCAATAATTGTTATTATTCTCCTTTCTTGTCCTTTATTTTGATTTTAAGTTTGATTAATATCATAAATTATTATTAGTTTTAAAAACAGGTGCCGTCGACATTAAGATATACTCAATTATCAAAGTTGTTAGGCTTCGTATTACCTATGGAAATTTTAGGAGCTAGCTAGGTTAATTCCTAAAATAATTTTAAATGATGTTATCACGATAATGAAATGAATAAAATGATATTATTTTATTAATGAATAAATTTTTTAAAAAAATATTAATATTTTATATGTTTATTTTAAATTTTGATATTTACTAATTAATAAAATAATATCATTTAATTTATTAATAATATATAAAGTTTATATACTAATAATACATCAAAATATAAACTCTTAAATTAATTTTTTTGTAAATCTACAAATGATAGAAATGAAAAAAATCCATTCTTTTAAATATGAAACTTAATTAATTTATATAATTATTTTTAATAATTGATATTTAATAATTATGAAATTCAAATCTCACTATTTATAACTTTTTTCAATATTGTCATACTACGATTGATCTTTTTTGTAATAAAAATCCATTACTTTTTTTTTTTGTAGTATTACTTTTCTTTTTGATTTAGAGAAATAATGAACCAACGGTTTTATATATGACTATTATTTTTAAGAAAGGAGAGAAAATTTTATATGTTAGTTTTAATTGGAAAAAGAATTAAGAGATAAACCCCCAGACAAAAATATCATTTTCTTTTTTTTTTTAAAAGAAAATCTCATTTTCTTAAATTAGACTATTCCTCTGGCATTATCATAGCTGCCATTATTATAAATAAGAAAATAATAATAATATATCAATGCACAAACTAATGGAGAATAATAATAAGCGTGTGATCCGTACACACGCTACAATTTTTGATCAAGTCGATGAAAGAATGATTCTTTGCGTGTGATGGTCTATGTATAATTTGTGAAATTTAGGCTGGTGAGCTTTGAATTATCAAAAATTTTCCAAAGAGCTGTAGATGTCAGATATGTTTACGAAATAATTAGAGATGGGATTACATTAATTTTTATTTGATGAAATAAAGCAATGGGAGTGCTATCTGCCTAAAAGTCAATGATCATTAATTCCTTTTTCATAACTTGATTGGTCGTTCTAGATTTTGCTTCACATGGTAGATCTTTTGGCCTACTCACAGGAAAATATACAGAGAGATACACATGATGATCAATGGCCATATGAATCACAGAGAGAGAGAGAGAGAGAGAGTTTGGGGTTAAAATTCTTTGTGAATCATTTTGAAAGCTTGGGGAAATGATTAAACATGAGAATTAGGGAGATGAGTAGGAGAAGGAGGATGCAAATAATAACCGTGTCAAGAAAAACATGATAATGATGAAATATTTGGAAAACAAGTAACATAAGGAAGGGGATGATTATTAGCGGTATGGCAATTTGCAGGAAGAGGACATATTTGAGAGAGTTGTGGGCAATGGACATGTGATATTTTCTCTTTTGGAATCATGGTGGCCCATGCCAGAGAATAATCTGGTTTTTAGCAATTATGATTGTTTTCTGATCTCTATCCATCCACCTTTCACTCACTCTCTTTCACTTCTCTTAGTCATGTGAGAGCGACTGCACTGCCAATCCTCGGTTTTTAAATTAACTGACACACCATTTCCTTTCTTCTTTTTTGCCAAGTCCCACCTCCCCCTCACCATTTCAATTTCGAACCAGCTGCTTCAAAAGTCACAAACCTTTTCACTTGATCACATCCTTTCTTTGAGGAAACATAAACATATTCACATATTCTATATGTATAGCAACATTATAATTTTGTGGGCAAAGCAAGATTAGTTAGATTATAAAACATATGCTAAAAAAGGCATTAACTTGTATGTATAATAATTCAAGCTGACACTTAGAAGTATGGATATTTTATATAAGCAAAAGCCCCCTTTTCAGCTCTGATGAGGCTGTTGATGCATCTTTTCCAACCAAAATAATCATCCTTGTTTGCATTGATTGTGTTTTAGTTGTGTAAGTTAGAGTACGTAAGCAATGATGAAAGTAAATTGCAACCTGTCACAGTTTGGTCATGTCTGAAGACTGGAGAAGAAAAAAAAGGCTAATAGCAATCTCCTTTTGATTCAAATTTTATTTGAACTTTTAAAAATTAAAGTTATAAATAAAATTTTGATTGTTTAAAATTATTATATTTTATTTTTTCCACCAATAAAATTATATAAATTAATAATAAATATCAACTGACTTCACGTGGATATTGGATACCATTAGTTGATATCTTATATGATAAATAAAAAAATCAAAATAAAATTTCGTTCAAAATTTAGAAGTTAATGATACTATTATCTTAATTTTTTAATTTTAGATATATTTTATAAAATGTTAAATGTAAAAGTAATATTTTTTATATTTTTTATTGTCATATAATTTATTATTTAATTTTTTTCTGTTTTTAATAGAAATATATATTTTTAAAAATTAAAATTAAGTTAAATTTTCAAAATCTTTTTGAAAAAATTCAATATCATTTTAAAAAATTAACTAAAAATTTCTACGCCAATTTTAAAAATTTAAATAAAAACTCTTTATCATTTTAAAATATTAAGAAAAAATTTTCATGTCACTTTAAATTATATTATTTCATAAAATATATTTGAAATATAAAAATCAGTCTTTTCTTTAATTATTTTTATTTTTCTTTTTGTTTTCCTTTTATCTTCTTTATAAATTATATTTTATAAAACAAATTCGAAAAAAGAAAAAGGAAAAGATATTTAATATTTTTAATAGAAAATAAATTTTTTTGGATAGAAAAATAACATTTTCTATTATGGTTTATCAGTAAAATGATATTTCTAATAGAAAATAGATTTTTTTATTTAAAATGATATGGATTTTTTTAAAAAATAATTTTGAAATATTTAACTTTATTTTAATTTTTAAAATTTATTTTTTATTAAAAATAAAAAGTATTTCACTAATAAATTATCTTAAGATAAAAATATAAAAATATTATTTAATATTTTAAAAATATATCTAAAAAATAAAAAAATAAAGAAAGTAACATCATTGATCCCTCAATTTTAAGCAAAATATTATTTTTGTTCCTTAATTTATCTCGTGAAATATTAATTAATGTCATTCACATGAAACCAATAAATATTTATTGTTAATTTATACAGTTTTATAGATTAAAAAAATCAAAATAAAATAATTTTAGGTAATTAAAAATTCAATTAAAATTTTTTAAAATTTTAAAACTAAAATAAAATTTAATTCAAATTTTAAGAACTACAAATGCAAATAATTACTAAAAACAACCACGCCTGCCAATGCTGCAATCTTAGACCGCTTGGGTTTCCTTTTTACCCATCCAAAAGAGAGAAGAATTGACATTTTCCCTCATTTTTTCCATTCCTTTGACGCTTCTTTTGGTTTTGTAGACCGAAGAATATTTTATTAAAGCATGTGACATTACAGTTGGGGAAGGAGTGCTAGAACTAGAATCAAGATAAGGCTATAATGCAGGGAGAGATGAGTCTGGTCCTTAACAGAAGCCAAAATATGAGCAAGCATTAACCTATCTACGAAGCCAAAGGGGTTAACAGTGACCACACTAGAACAAAATCTGTTGGCTGATTAGGAAGAGGTTGGCGTCCTAGGCAGCCAGGTCTCTATCATGGTGCAGTTCGGTAGCCCACTACAGAATAAAAGTCCTTGTTTGGAAACAACACCAGAAAAACCCTGTTTTCTTTGCAAATAAATAAATAAATAAATTCAATACAATATATTTTGTTTAAGGTAAGTTATGTCGAGCCAACTAGTCCTTTTTAGACTCACCGAGGCATTGGGTCTGGAAAGGTTTGGAATTGTCCCGCTACTTCAAAAAAAAAAAAAATAGAACTTTGTACTTATCTGGTGAGTCTGAGATTTCAAGCTTCAAACCTGTTCTTCGAAAGTAGTGATAGGCCTTCCATAAGTAGAGGTCTCTTGACAAACCAATTCCTGGCCTGCTTTTGTTCAAACTTCAAATATATGCCAAGGTTATGGACAAGTTAGTGGTCAATGGTTATGATGATCTGCAGTTTCAACCTGTTAAGCAAACTCATCATCTGGAATTAAACATATGGATCATGTCTTTCACAAATTTGTGCACAAATGTAACAAGGGAAATTATAGTGGTCCAA